CTTTGTTCCAAAACAATTCTTAGAGTCATACTCCAAGATTGTAATTTGAGTGACACATCTTGAAGAAGGTTTATTAGTACTAGTCAAATGTAAGAGTAAAATGTGTCCTACTCTTGTACATTTGAAATTGGTAAGTTGTGATCTTTTGTATAAAATAGAGACCAACTTAGGCCAATTGTGTGAAGTGTTTGTCTTGATAAGAATCTGCACTATCTCTTGAATATTTGTTTGTCAAAGAATGGGTCTTGGCAAGAGAGTCTTATATGTCAAGAGGACAGTGGGAGTCTAAAAGATCCTGAAAGAATTTCAAGATCTAATCAAGAATAAAACATGTAGTTTCTCACTAGCTCACGACTTGAGGTTTATAACCTATCGTGTTGACATATTCCTATTTCTATGCCCATTCCAGTTAAAGTTGGCTTTGGATATGAGTTCTGAGAGTTCTCAATTGGTTGCATAACAACTTGGAAGCAATGACAGGCCCTTGTGCTGCCAGGTGGAAAGAAGTTAAGACTCAACAAGTTCAGTCCATATGAATTTGGATTTGTCACTAACTGTGTCTTGTGATTATGGTTTTGACAAATTCACATGGATAGGAACACATACACCATAAAATCTACGTGTCATAAGGTTTCTCTCCGATTCATGAAAATGATGGTGAGGAAACTCTTTCACTAAGAGGTTTTAAGTAGATAGCAATTGTGATATTTGCACTCTCAAAGTCGTTAGTGAAGCGTGTGTGGTTAACCGGCACACTAACATGGACTTGTGAGGAATGGCAAAGGTCTAAACAATTGAGACTGTGATTACGGCATCCAGTTTCATAGTTCTGAAATTGTTTAGACACACATGTGTGCTATCTAAGGAAAGGTGTATGATTTTGATAAAGTCTTATCAAAGCATCTCGTATCAGAATTCTGAACTTTGGTAAGAAAGTCAATAAAGTGTTGATTTGTAGAAGTCCAGCTGATTTCTGAGTACATGTCAAAGCTAGTGGGAGCATAAGTGTTATGCTGATAATTCTCATGTTAGTGGGAACATGATAATTATGATAAGTGTTAATTATAGAAAACAAAAAGTTTCAATTGGGAAAAGTTGTTTTGCTATAATTAATGGAAAGGAAATTGTACTTCATTTCAAATCTAAAAGCTTAGATTGAGATTTTAATCATCTTTAGTCAAGGATATATATGAATTTTATGTTGGAATGGCTCACCTTAAGGAAATTCTATATATATTGCATTCTTAAAATTCGATTATGATTACGACATCCCTCATCATAGTCGAATAATGAAAACATGGAAAATAAAAATATTGTAGCAAAAGACTGGTCTAGAGTCATGTCTTTATGTGAGACATCATGAATCATGTCCCATATGCTTCGGGTGTAGGATCGATTTCATGTGCTATAATATTTATCCTATCTAAATTTATCCGAATGCCTAGTGGTATTAAGAGGGGAAAAGGTCTAGATTTGGATATGACTAAAATGATTAAGCAATTGTCGAGGACAATCTAAGGTTTACTAAAGATTGGTTGCTCAGGGACAGTTGGAAGTATAGTGTTAATTTTGGAAGGACCATATTGACATATTCTGAAAGGAGGCAACTCTTGTTCAGTAGTGATAGTCAAAATGGGAATATGGAAATGACTCCATAGGTGGAAGTTATTCAATCTGTGTAAGATTAGAAAACTTAATGCAAGAAGGATGATCAAAGCATTGTACTTTGAATTTGAGACTTCGTTTCCATGGAATGATCTCCATTGGAATACTCTGTAATGTCTGTTGACAAGTCTTTGACTTTGTGCATAGTCATTAAGAGAGGATCAGTGCATATAAGTTTAAAATCTAACAGATTTCGGTAAATGACAGGAATTTGGAATTCTTGCATTTGCAGTAAGGATTTGGGATTTTGAAATGAGAATCATTGGAATAATGTTCAATCGATCTATTTCACAAAGTAAAGATCATAGACAAACTTAGTGTGCATACTTGGTGTATGGCATAACTAATGTTTGGACAAACATAGTGTGCATACTTGGTGTATGGCATGACTATTTTTTGGATAAACATAGTGTGCATGCTTAGAGCATGGCATGACTAGTGTTTTGATTCAAGTATAAAGTTGATTAGTTGAAACAGTATACATTTAATAATGTGTAATCAATATGGTGTTAAATAAAAGGTGTTCTATTTATATTCATAAGTTCTGAGACCATATTGGATTCGATTATTCTTGTGTTTCACTTTGCATGTTTTGACTTCCAGAACAACTAGGTCATTCTTCCTGAATGACTAAGTTATTCAAACCATCCACAGTCAGTCATATGTTGGAAGTAGATATGAATCAAGACTGTCATGAAGTTGGCTTGTAGATGTGTAAGATGTTGGACATAGCAAGAGTTGCTACAACACTCATGAGTACTCATAAGTTCTGAGTATTGTATTAAACCCACGCTCATTTGACTCACTTCATGGATTTTATCACGATTGATCATGAGACGATAATATCTTATATGCTTGAAACCTACAGATATGAGTTGTTGCCTATGAGTTGGTTATACATTGATTGTACGAAAACGCATCAGTAACTCGATGTTATAAAACGTGCCTTTGTGTATGATTCAACAAGTAGTAGAACAAGCATATGATTCGAAGTTTATCCATTCCTTTTACCCTTAAAGGGATAAAAGCGATATCTGTGGGCCCCTCGATGATTTAGTGATGACACCCCGAAGTGCTTGGCCAAGCCTGGACTGATTTGATTTGTTCAATTAGTTGGTCGTCATAAATCGGAAATCGGGAAACAACAAATGGACAAAGAGAATGATTATAATCCATGTCTCAGTCCATATGATATCTAGAATGGAGGAATATATGATCCCTTATCTAATGGACAAGTCATTGACTAAGGTCAGAGTTCGATAGCGGCTTTAAGAGCTACGATTGCTAGTCGGGTTTTGGAGTCATACACAATAATAGTTTTATACTTATCCAAGTGGGAGACTGTTGGATTAGTATCTAAGTCCATAACTATAATTGGTATGTACTTGACCCTATTTAACATGGTCCATTTGGGTTGCACTTCACCGGAACCATTTATATGGATAGTCTTTTGAGAATAGTATGTTTATGATTTATATTAATATATTATAAGTTCTAATATATTAATATGGAATCATATTATTTAATTAGTATTGATCAAGAATTAATTTAGTGATCAAAAGGAACTAATTAAATATGGACTCTTATATATATAGCATGGGCGAAGTTCATTTAGGTTGGGCTAAGCTTGCATGGATAGTCCATGGAGTTTTTAACCCATGGATCCTATGGAAATGAAATGTCATGGGTATTAGGGTTTACATGGATGAAACCCTAATCCTCCATACTATATAAAGAGGTCTTTGGCACATGAAATGGCACTAGTGTGTGCGGATACAAGGGTGGGCCGATTTCTAGTGTGCATTCTATTCTCTCAAGTCTTCCAAGGTGTTTTTGGTGATTTGTGATTCCACTTGAGGCTTCCACACTATTGGGGCTAAGCTCTTAAAGTTCAAGACTTCAAGCCACATCAAAAGGTATGTTATCTAACTAGGTTTTTGTAGTATAGTTGCTTCATATTATTCTAGTTAGGATAAAACCTTGGAATATTGAATATTTGCATGTATAATAGAGAAAACATAGATCTAAGGTTTATAGGGTTGCATGTACACCATAGGAGTGTTAGAATGCTCATAACCCATCAGTTGTTCAAGATGAAGTTGACCACCATGAAGCTGTTGTTGAAGTTGACCACCATGAACCTGTTTTTGATGAAGTTGACCACCATCAACATCAAACTGTTTTTTTTTCAACATTTTGTTGCCAACAAACGGCGATTACCTTCTGAGAGGATCACGAAACTGAAGTTAAGGAAGAAGGTGGTAACAAAAGACGGAAGTGGGGAAAGTCATGAAAATCCAGTCACTTTAAACTAGGATAGGTGTTTTCTATTAGGATTATGTCAAATACTATGAAATGGCACATCTTTTGGTGCTTAGTGCACATCTTTTGGTGCTTAGGCTTGTCTTTTGATGCTTAGGCTTGTCTTTTGGTGCTGTGCACATTTACCAACATTTATTGCCATGTACACGTGCTTGATTATGTGGTTTAATTATGCTTAATATGTAGTTTATTACTTTTTATGCATATTATAACAGTTTACCATTTTCCCCATGTTTGTTAAAACTGTGTTAAAATTGGTAGAAACAGTTTTGTGGGGCTTGTTGAGTGGACCATTTTGCCCATGAAAACCTGTTAAAACAGTTTAAAACAGTTTTATGGATAATTATGTGTATTGCACTGCTCTCAAAACTGTTTGAAACAGTTTTATGGACAATTTTGCCCCTGCTATTATCACTCAAAACTGTTAAAATAGTTTGAAACGGTTTTATGGATAGTTTAAAACTCAATTTTTCCCTTTGTCTTGAAAGACCATTTCATACACAAATTACATACATAATGTCAACCAGATTTATGGACTATTTTGCCCTTGCTATTTTCAATCAACAAAAGTATGATACTATTATGTGTATTTTCAATAAAACTACCCTTGTGTTGTAAGACCATTTAAAACACAAATTACATACATAATGTCAAACAGTTTTGTGGACTATTTTTCCTCTGCTATTATCATTTGATAAAAGTGCAATGCTAGTATGTGTATCAGTCTTCATAAACACCTTCTTTTCATTCCCACTTCATAACCACATTACATGAGTTCAATGAAACTACTTTGAAACACTTCAAAGTACATTTCCCTTACATAATCACATTAAAACTACATTATGTACTTCACTACAAACAAAACAACAAACATCAACACAAAACATTTCATTTTATCCAATTCCTTTCTAAAACTCTTACATTCCTTATCAATCTTCACCTTGTACTCACTGAAATCATGTTCCAGTATTGCAATCATCACTTCAGTATTGAAATCATGTTCTTCATCTTTCTTATTCTTGTTCTTGGTTATAATCTTCATCTTCATCAACCCATTCCCAGAAATCACATTTATCCTTTGGATCCTTCATCTTTAATTATAACATAAACAAACAATATTGTAGAATGAAAAACAAGAATGGACCCAAACAAGAACAAGCTTTTAGATATACTTACCAAAGAGTTAGGACAAACCCTAAATTTTTTACCAGGATTTGCCTCTGTTGTTGATATCCAGATACGAGAAGGAAACCCACAATCACAAGGATTTGCCTTATCAATTGTGCTCTTTGACTTGGAAATTTTTGACTTTGAGCATGAGTTGGAGGATCGAGACGAAGAAGCCATGTTGAAGAAGTCGATTGATTAAGTAGCCGTATCCCCCATTATGCCCTATATCTACTTATAATATGTAACTTTTAGACTAACGCCACGTAGATATGCCAACACACCACATATACATGCCAACTCAACAGAAATATGCCAACTCATTTACCCCCAATCGTTTACCTACAAGATGTCGGTCACTATTATAAAAAAGTTAATTTATTGGTAACTTTATTTGGCTTTTTTGTTAAAAACATTACTTCGTTTGTGTTTCTTGAACAACAAAAACATAATTGGGGTAATATGGACGCTTTTGAAACTTAATTGGTTTTTTAAGTCATTTTCTTATAATTCCCCACATAATTGATCAGTCTAATTCTAGGGTTCATTCCATCTATTCAGGCTCCCAAAAAGCACAACCACATCTCATTGTGGGCTGCTACATGAACGATGCACAACACATAAAAGGAAGAGAATGAAAAAAACGGGAAATTGAGAGGAAAGGGAGGGTACGACAAAGGCAGCAGGAGAGAAAACGGGAGGGAAGAGGTGCGTTCTTGTGGCTGTTTATTTGTTCCATGTAACCTACTTATGATATCTACTCTTACTAACATAAAACCGACACTAAACAACCATCAATGTCGCCGCCAGAAAAGCACATATGGTCGCCTTAGATTTGCGGCTGAGTTGGTGGTTGATTTCTAGCCATTAAGGGGGCATTTTGTGTGTGTTTATGATGTATTTATTCTGTCAAAGTCTTGCCTAAACATATCCTAACATGTTGGTGTTGATGGATGGGTCAAGGTGTAGAAATTCCTTTCATGAATGTGTAATATTTGATCAAATAATCATACAAGTTTAGTATTGAATGCTACCCTCTTTTTCCAGCCGAACATAACCTTTCATGTGAGCTTTTGAGCTTGATATGTTGTTGGAAATTTGGCACACAAGTCTACTCTAGAAGATTATGTTAAAAACTATGAGTTAAAGGGGTATGCGTAGGTGTGTAGGAAAAAAATAATAAGAAAAAAATAAATAAAACATTGATTGGAAGGATTAGGAGGGAGTAAATACGGGTTAAGGCTAATGAGTAATATAATAACAATGTAGTTATTGGAATTCTAATGATAAAGATGTTGCAAAGATGATTAAATCATTCAAGTGAAAGTAGGATGGAAAAAGAAGTAGAAGGTGTCATTTTACATGAAATGTGAAGAAAAAGAATTAATAATGCAAGTAGATGACATACATGGCTATATGAATGAATTAAAAGGATGAAAAGATATAAAACACACTCTTAAGTCTTATTCAATGAAATATCTCAAGGGCTTAATGGGTTAAGGCAAACACTAAAGCTTAAGATGACTTTTGGTGTAAAGTCAAATCTGGACAGAAAACTTGACCTGTCTTTCGAGGGCTATAGCTTCTATTCGGTTCAGAATTGGACCTTGCACCAGAGAACAATATCGTAGGAAACTGAGTCTAGTTTCCAGAAATATAAATTTCAAGTCATTTGGAGGTTTTTAGCTGGAGTTATGACTAAAACACTGAAAACTGGTCAAATCTGAAAAATGTTGAAAATGAACCAATAACATAAACAATTCAAGTGAAGTTTAAACTATATTCATACCACCTAAAAATCAGAAAATAAATGTTTAAATGATGATATTTATGTGTATATGATTGTCTTGATACCTTCAAGAACCTCAAGATTTTAAGTAGGAGAAAGAAGTAAATAAGCTAAGGTGAGTACATATGATTTTCTGAGCACACATCCCTAAAGAAGATTATATTTTTTTAAGAGTCTATGTGCATGCTTTATGTATTTCTTACATAGTTATATGATGAATGGCATGCTATGATTTTATATCAAGTTACATGCTATGATGATACATTATAAGCAACTTTTTTTACAACATATTTTTTAGCAATATTATTCTATTGATTTTGAATAATCTTGAAGGCGCAAATGAAGAACTAAAAACCTCTAGAACATGAAAGTGGTGACATAGATCCTTATTTGATTGTGATGAACAAAGAGAATGATAGATATCATCGACTTTATGGTAGAAACATTAATAATAAATTAATAAAAAAAAGTGGGTGGTGGTTATGCATCATACACGATTCTGGTGGGACTTATGGAATCATTCAAAGCAAATGAAGCTGAAAGAAATTAGTTGATTGAAATGCGAGAACAAATTCAAGAGTATCATGAAAAAACATGCAAAATTAGAAGCTATACGAATAGATAGTAACAACCAAAGAGAAAACGTTGAAGTCATGATGCGGAAGTTTATGGAACAACAACTTCCAGAAGGTCGATAGTTGCTAATATGATTTATCTTCTTTGTTTAGTACATGTCTAGGACATTTGTCATACTTCTTTTGTGATTATAGTTGAGAACTTTGTGTTGACTTTTATTTATGGTTGTTATTTTGAATTTAGACATGTCAAAGGACACCATAAAACTGTATAAGATATTTATGTTATTATTGTTATGGTATAATTTTAGTAGTAATGAATATCCATAACAATGTAGTAAAACATATGTAGCATCTCCATGACTAGAAAAAAGATGTTGCATTAGCATTAGAAAAGTCACAAAATAGATTTGCATTTGCTTGTAAACAAGGTTTCATTTTTTTTTTCAATTAGAGACATAACAAAAATTTTATACATATAGAAAGGTTGCAATTCTTTACTAGAAATATAATAAAGGTTGCAAATGCCTATTAAAAAATTGCATTTTCCTAACTAAAACAGCTAAAAAGGTTTCATCTAATTGTACAAAAAGTTGCATATGAGCACAAAAAGTTGCATTTGCATAATAAAGGTTGCATTTAAAAAAAGTTGCATCCAAAAAAGATTTGCAACTATTTCAGAAAGTATTGCATTTTCCAAGAAAAAAGTTGCTTTAGGCCTAATGCAACTTTACCTAATGCAACCTTTGGTCAAAAGTACTTTAGGCTTTATGCAACTTTTTGGTGGGGTTGCATTAGCTTCATTTTGCTGTAGTGCCAATTCCTTTTTTAATCAACTGAAAATAAAAAGAATACATCTAATCATAAATAAATACACTCATTAACACATGATTACACTACTATTCACAAATGACTACACTGCTATTAACAAATGAGTACCCTGCTATTTTACAAATGAATAAATGAATACCTCTAATCATAAATAAATACATTCATTCACACATGAATGCACTGCTGTGCACAGGTGACTAGAATGTTATTCATAAATAAATACACTTTCTAAATGTATTCATCAAGAGAGAGCAGGAGACTTAAAGATAAGAAAGATGTAGTAGACTACATAAGCTAGGGTTCACACTTTCGCACCCATCATCTTTGTCCAAGAATCCACACCAGCTTCACCGATCAAATTCGATCCTCCAAAGCCCTAATCTAGGACTTGGGGAACGACTACAAGTGAGATAATGGACTTCAATGAGTATAAGTACTTGGAGAAGATAGTCGAAGAATTCGACACCAAGAATGGTTCGTCTTCGAAGACGAAAGACGGTTTGTCTCTCTCGAAGTTTCTCTCTCCATACCTACCATTACTTTTGTGACGTTCCGACCGGGAAGACCTTTCCTCACGGCTATGGCTACAGCCTTGGTCACGGTCTTTGTCTACATCCCTCCTGCTCTCGTCGTTCTCTTCGTCCCGTTTATATTTCTTGCTCCTTCTCCGTTCTTCTTCAATGCAGTCATCTTCAACATCTTCACCATCATCTTCTCTTCCCTTCCGGTTCTGTTTCATCAGATTCAAGGATGCAGGTCTATAATCTCCAATGAATACCGATGAACTAAAATCGAGTTGTAGAACAATTGGAGATCGAGTTGCAGGAGGCCGATTTGGCGTTGAAGCCTTGGAGGGTTTTGGTGATGGCGAGGTCTGATCATGATAATATGTCACACCCCCAAACCAAGGATGGCGGAAATGTTCAGGGGTGGAGGACTTCATGTATAGTATCACAACAACGAGTATAATAGTGCGCATAGTAAATACAATCATCATAAATATAATTGAAAAAGTTACACCATAGTATGAGTTTACATGTTTCAAAATCAATTACATTATGATGACAAAAATGTTTAATTTGACGTCTGACGTCCCATCCTCAAAAGCAGTTGATTACCTATTTCACGGGTTTCCTGAGAATACAAGTAGTTTTGAAAGAGTGTCAACAATTAAGTTGGTGAGTTCATAAGCTTTTGGGTGAAGTGTTGGAAATTCCTTTATTTGTAAAATGGAATGTGTACACAAGAAAAATCCAATATTTTCCTTATCAAATATTATGTAGTCTTAAATCCCAAGACCGAATGCATGAGTGTATGTTCGTAATTTAAACGAAGAATACAGTTTTAAATAGATAAAACCCCTTTCTGTTTTCCTTTTTAAAGTAGTATCTCCCGTAAACTTTAAGTGATGTTAACTCCCTATGTGAGTCGCTATAACCATACTACAACCGGATGACCTGTTACAACATTTATCAGATGTTAAAAATTGTTATGACTTTCGTCACCCGTAGACCTGCAGGTCCCGCTGTAGCTAGCAGCAAGGTGTGGGGTGTCAATCCCAATATAGATCTATACACAATTATCACGCTCTCCCTACGAGAGACTCTGGTTATAACTTGTAGGAATTTTAACCCGTACTCTAAGAGTACATTTGGAGAATTTTCTCACAACTTACGTTAACGAGTTTACGTGTAGCATGCTTAGAATGCATAACTATGCTTCTTATGTTTTATCTTGTCTGTTTGTAATGTGAAAGGACTCTTACAATTTAGGAAGTAAATTTCTGTTATTTAACCATAACTTAACAGAAAACATGTGTAAATTATAAAGTCATCAAAGACAAACACTTTGCTCGACATGTTACAAAGTGTTATGAAGATTGTAAGTTGTGAACTAGTTTTTAACCTTTCTATACTTCTTTAGAAAAATCATATAAAAATCATACGAAGTCGAAACCTGAATCCGTAAATTTTGAGAGTTTAGAA